AGCGTGATGGAGTCAGACTGTGAACGCGCATTTCTTTGGGTTCGCATTTTGCATGTGCCCTTCGCGTTAACCTTTCGTAATGTTTGCCAACCTCAGGATTTCTCATAACTCTGCAAGTTGGTTGCGCTTCCTCTATGACTCGCTCGTCCTGTCCTTGAGTAGTTTTTTTTTTTCAGTTTTTGGCTCTGCAGGTAAAAGGCTAAATGCACAGTTCACTTTTCTTTTCTTTTCTTTCTTTTTTTCGTCCTTCAAGCCCGGGAAGCCCCTTCTATTCTGGCGGGTGTCAGACCGGTTGCTTATTACTGGCAAGCATGAGTACAAGAAACAACGAGAGCAGGAAAGCAAAGAAGACTCAGCTGTACCCTTGCCGTACGAGTCACCTACTCACGGGGGGGGGGGGGGGGTTCTGCCACGCCCCGGCCTCCCCCCCCAATACCATAGCCTTCCTGGCAGACTTCTGCTCGCTGGGAACACAGCTCTCATTGCCTCTCAACCTTTCTTTCTTTCTTTCTTTTTTTCTTTTTTTTTTTCCGATCCTTGCATTGAATCAGTTCTGCATCACTGGGATTGTATCCACCCCTTCTTTTTTTTTTCTTTTTCTTTTTTTTCGGTCGTTGGCACGTTGCATTGAATCCGATTGCATCCACTTTTCCGGTACATGCCTTCTGCTTGCTGGCTATTTGTATTTGTCACTTGACCAGAAAGAGAGAGAGTACTCAGTACTGCTTTGAGTCAGTTCTGCTCTGCAGGTGAAAGCCACAGTTCTGCTCGTCTTGTTGAAAACTTTTTTTTTTTTTTTCAGGAAAATGATAACTTGATATGCTTGACACAGATTGTGTTGTGCTTCTTTGAAGTTTTTCAGCATCACTGAAATCAGATGCTGCTGCTGTACCCAGTGAGAGAACTCTCACTGGATGAGTGATCGCAGCCATTTTTTCAGATTTCAGCTAGAGCCTAGAGGGGCAAAACTGATAGTGAAGTTGACGTTGATGTCGGTCGGTCATCTGACCACTGTCAGATCATCGATCGATAGATCGGGCAGATATCTGTTCATCGAGCATCGAACACTTAGCTGCGGTGGCGGCCGCTGGTGTCATCGCGTAGGAGGTCAGTGATAAAGGATTGTCGTTTTTCGAAAACTTTCTGTTTCAAAAAAGGAAAGGGCATAAAGACTGACGGCAGGGTTTGGAATCTTTGGATTGATTGATGTTTTTCTTTGTGGCAACAAGGAGGCATACCCTCGTTAGCGCCATATGGGCACAGAGGTTGCGTGTTGGGAGTGCCACCAGAGAGAAATGTATGAGAAATTTCAAATTTGAGAATATAACAAAAAAGTAAAGGTAGTTTAATACATAGAGCACACAAGTGGCATTCAGGCCGTCGTGTGGTTTGATTCCCGATGTCCTCCGTTGGATTCTCCGTGGCCCCCTGCGGCACGCTTTTTTGGGTTCACCTGCTGAGATAGTTGGCTTGACCCCCCTGGCTGGTCTTGGCAGGGATATGAGTCGTGTTTTATCTCACCAGGGGTTAGGATGCTCTTGGGTACTACTCCCCGCACGGAGTAGAGCTTGCGAGTAACGCCCCGACGAGTGCCAGATGGTCCCTTCGTGTCCGATGGTCCCGTCATATCCCGATGTTCCCGTCATGTCCCGATGGTCCCGATGGTCTGGACTTCATTGGAGTGCAAAAAATTGAGAGCAAAAGTACAAGCTGTCCCAGTGTCCCTCGATGAAGAGAAGACGTCTAAAAAAAAAAAAAAAAAAAAGAAAAAGGAAAAAATAAAAGAAGGTTTTGAAAAGAGGAAAAACTTCACAGACAAAAGAAAAGAAGGTTTGATAAATTGATACACCACGTGGACGACATGGGGACGAGTGAGCAGTACCTTCTTCCCCCGAATACAACGTACGGTCATTATAGCTGTATCTAGACTGATAGACACCCCAAATACAGCTATAATGACCGTACGTTGTATTCGGGGGAAGAAGGTAGTATTAGATCTGTGCATACTGGCACTAAGACTGCAGGTTGTGACTCTTGTGAGTGCACCAGAGAGAAGTGTATGAAAAAAAAAAGTGTGTACTTTTAAGAGAGGTTGAATCGTGCATCAATTAGTAGAAATTTCTGAAATTAAAAAAAAAAGAAAAAAAAAAGAAAAGAAAAAGAAAAAAAAGAATTAGTACTTGGCTAGGCTAATGTTGGCAGGGGTGAGAGGTGGTACATCCTTCCCAAGGGAAGAAATCAGTCCCGCCTACTCGGACCTCCCGACCGTTATGGGGAGGGGTGTGGCTGAGTTTCACAATTCCACTCCACTATATGTAAAATTTGACTACCGACACAACACACCCTGATTATGGCTGTACCAAACTGGAAAGATAGTTTGTATACATTCCTTTTCAGGGTGCGTTATTTTCGGGGGAAGACAGTAGCCGGTGGAATAGGAACCGGACTGACGCTCTCTCCAGGAGGAAAAGGAGCCAGAGCGATAAGGTTTCTGTTAAAAAAAAAAAAAAAAAAAAAAAAAAGAAGAGAGGATTACCTGGATTAGTACTTTGTGGTTCGGCTGTGAGATTTGCACCGGTTTCTGGACCAAGGGGGATGTTCCATGGAAGCGGAGTTTGTAGAGTTTACAGAGCTACGGTGTTGCTCATCAATATTCGTAATGTGCAGTTTTGGGAGTTGGAGGCAGGAGCAGTCTATTTTCTTCAACTTTGTCTGTCGCACATGTTGTGGGAGCGTTGAGATCTGTTTTCTCTGCGCATCGCGGACGAAGACAAAGCCATGAACGCATTGGTTTCGGCATATGGCGATGGTTCTAGAAGTGATGGTGAAGAGGAGGGGAAGAGTCTAGCGGCCGCGAAGGAGCTTGCAGCACATGACTCGGCGCTACTTCCTGATTCCAATGCGGCGCCGGAGGAGCCTGGCAAGAAAAGGAAGTTGCAGGTGATCATCACTCAACAGATTCATCGCTCACTACCTTTTCCCCCCCTTCTTCTTCTTTTTTAATTTCTTTTTTAATTTCTTTTTTTTATTTCTTTTTTATTTATTTATTATTATTATTATTTTTTAATTTTAAACCACCCCACTACCTTTCAAAGGCAAACTCGAAATGCAAATGCACCGTACACCGCGTCTTCCGGAGAAGAGTGCTACCAGACCAAAATGGCTGGTGCAGCCATCCAAAAAAGGGGAAAAAAAATCGTTGCGCTGGCATTTTGGCAATGTTTGTTGTGAAGTTCTTTTCCGCATTGGGAAGACGAGGCTTGGAGGTAGTGCTGATTTTACCTTCTATTTTTTTTATTTTTTTATTTTATTTTTTCCAAATTTCGACCATGTATTGATTTCCATGTGTCATGCTCGTACAGGGGCCATGCTTATCTGTTCTGTATCTAACCTATTGATGCAATTTTGACTGCTTCATGTCTAAAAGAACCGCCTACTTTTTTTTTTGGGGGGGGGGGTGCGGGGCCAAGCTAGGCGCTGGGACTGCCCTCTGGCTGCCCGGATGACCCAGTCGAGCAAGGTCCCGTGCCAGGTCCGGGACAACCCCAGCACACACACAAAAAAGAGAGAAATAAAAAAATCTGGAAAAAGAATGGTTTCCCATTCGGGTGGGCTTTGTAGCCTCTAGTTTTTTTGTGTGTCATGATCTTCTTCTTCTTCTTTTTTTTTTTTTAATTTTTTTTTATGCTTTTGTGTGGGTCTCCAACAGTTCATCAGTCAGTTTCGATGCACCTCACTTTAGTGTGCAGATTCACCAAGTTTCATCCCCTTTTTTTTTTTTTTCAGAAATTCTCCCCTTTTTTTTTCTTTTTTTTTGCGAAGCATCCTGTATCTCAGCAGATAAAGATTGATCTGAAGTTCTGAACTTTTAGTGTTTTTTTTTTTTTTTTTTTGTCAAACGCCGTCAACGACGCGTCATCCATCAGTTGTCCTTCCTCACATCCTTTACGTATTGGAGCGGTACAGAGAATGAAGATTACCATGGCCCCTGCGCAAGGATGACGCGCACAAATCGAGGGATGGTCCAAATATTTAAAAATTATAAACAATGACACGCATAGATCCAGAAATGTTCCACAAATTCATGAGCTATCCATCAGTCCCTCTTTTTTTTTCAGTACAGTTGATCTCCCTGTTTGAATAACTGAATATATAAGACGTATTATGCGTTGATTGAGCAAGAGGAAGATCAACTGTACTGGAAACAAAAGAGAGAGAGAGAGAGAGAGAGAGAGAGAGAGAGAGAGAGAGAGAGAGATCAACTATACTACTATAGTGACCTAAAAACTTTTTCTTCTTTTTCTTCTTCTTCCGGTTTTTTTTTTTTTTT